GTACATATCACATTTTAGTGAAAGTGCCCAGCTATGTGGTTTTGGACAGTAGACGTCTTTGAGGCTGTTTCTTAAACTGAATACTACAACTAATAGTTCCTTAGCTATGTGAGAAATTGTTCAACAATTGTTAATCTAGTACAAATGGTAGTTGCAGGGCCTGTTGGGTCAAGTTCAGGTCAGAGGCTCCGGGTGATAGGGTAGAACTACCCTATAGGGTTTTCTAGGTTGTAATCCTTACAGGAAGGAGCTCTGGTAGTGCAGTGGGTTATGAGTTAGGCTACTAATCATAACGTCAGCAGTTCGAATCTATCAGATGCTCCATGAGAGAAAGATAAGGCTTTCTGCTTCTGTAAGGATTTATATTTGTAGCCTCAGAAGTCCTATATGTGGTTGCTGTGAGCTGGAACGGACTCCATGGCACACAACCATCACCGTTACCAATCTTTAAAAGGAGCAGGTCCCCAGGTCTCTTCTCAGGGAATTGCTGAGTGGGTTTGAACCACCAATCTTTCAATTAGCAGCTGAATACTTAATCGTTAATACTTAAACCACCAGGTTTCCTCTGCTGCCTATTATTAAGCATCCTCAAGACGGTTCTGACTCATGTTGTTGTTGTTAAGTGCCGTCAAGTCGGTTTCGACCCATAGCGACCCTGTATAAGGTTTCCGAGATGCTGGTGAGCTTGAACCGTCAACCTAGACTTCAAACGGCTTTGCAGTCTAGTCTGGTGCATTAACCCACGGTGCCACACCAAGACTCCATAGCTACCCTGTATAGGGTTTCTGAGGCTTTAAATCTTTGCAGGAGCAGAAAGCCTCATCTTTCTCCCATGGAGTGTCTAGGAGGCTCAAATCTTGTGGTTTGGGAGTCTAGTGTTTACTGTATGGAGCCACCTATGTGATCCGGGAAAACACCTTGCCAAGTGTCAGCAACTTCACCAGTCAAATGGTACTAATAAGTTTTTACTGGGAAAGGATGTAATGATTTCAGCTGAAAATGTGCTTCAACAGAGAAGGAAGAAATCTTCACCTCAAGTGTCAATGCTATCCCCTCTGTACACAGGGTAGATAGGGATGGGCAATTTAGACATTGGCCACCTAAAATGAGGGGGTGATAAAGGCATGAAGTGACTGGCTTACAAGGTTTCAAGGGAGAGCTTAGTTTAAGAGTGTGTGTGGGGAAGAATGAGTCTCTACTGAATAGTTTTCATCTTGACTAGGTGGGTCTGGTGAAGAGATGGGATGAGAGTCTTATGATTCAATAGAGAGTAACTGTTATCAGGACTAATTGCAACTGTCACAATTGTAAAGGTAACAAAAAGGTTTTGTAACAAAAACAGGAGAGTAATCTTACAGTCAGTCCATAAACAGAGGACCCTAGGACCATCAAGGGAGAAGAGCACAAGCAGAATGTAGGACCTTATCCAGAGAAGCAGCGACGCCAGAGATGGGGGCAGAGATGGGGACATGGAGAGAGGGAGCAGCTGCGGACTCTGGACTCATGGAGAGGAACTCTGAGAGCTGGTGATCAGGAGGCAGGCTTGCAGAAAATGCCCTTTGACTGTTAAAATTATTATATATTCCTGAGTGTTTTTGTGTACATCTTCCCCCACCCCCTGCCCCAAATATGCTTCAAGCACATTACCCTGTGCCTGGCATGTAGAATGCACCACCAAGGTGCCCTACAGGAAGATGCTGTGTAAATGTCACTGAGCCCATTGCTTCCTCGCTCGGTAATGTGGTGAGGGTCTCATCTGCCTCACTCTGGGGCAAAGGTGACATGGTACACTTTAAGCACATGCTCCTATCATCTGTCACACAAAAATATGGAATACCATACAGCAGTACTGTCCCTTTGGTTACCACACCCCTTCCCCATCCTGGCTGATAATGTCAATCAGCTTCCCTTTCTGTGCTCTGGACTTTTGTTAAGTCTCTTTCTCTGCAGTTGTTACTGTTCTCCCCCCCACTCCCCCACACTACCCTCCCCTCCAGTCCTCAGCTCAACCCCTCTAATAGTAAGTAGCAAGATTAACTACTCCGTCTTGCAGACAAAAGATCAGCAAACTGGTCCCTCAGCTAGGTGAGTTTTGGGATGGGAGGTACGACATGACATCAAGGGACATGCTAGCAGTGAGAAGCTGCATTCTGGGTATTGGTTCTCCACAAGTCTGCCTCAGCTGACACATCTGCACAATGAGAACTCTACCTCAGGATTTGGGGGAAAATTACAAAATGAGTTGATACATGTAAAGTGCTCATTTGCTGTTGTTAAGTGCTGTTGAGTTGGTTCCAACTCATAGTGACTCTGTATAGGGTTTCCAAGGAGCGACTGGTAGATTTGAACTGCTGACCTTCTGGTCCAGTGCATTACCCTGCAGCGCCACATCTAAAACAAAGCCAAAAACAAACCACCAATGCTATCAAGTCAATTCCAACTCTGTGACCCTATAGATCAGACCTGTTCCCTGGGATTTCTGAGCCTATCAATCTTTACAGCAACAGACAGCCTCACCCATGGAGTGGCTGGTGGGTTTCAACTGCCAACTGCGTGGTGAGCAGACCAACACTGAACCCACTGCATCATCAGGGAGGGGGCTTTGGCATGTAGTAACCAAAAACCAAACCTACTGCCATTGAGTTGATTCTGACTCAGCAACCCTGAAGAGAGTTTTGAAGGCTATAAATCTCTCCAGGAGCAGCTGGCTTCATCTTCCTCCTAAGGATCAGCTGGTGGGTTTGGAATGCCCACTTGGTGATCAGCAGTGCAATGCTGATCCTACAGCCCCACAAGGTTCCTTTGACATATAGTTAAGTGTCAACAAGTTGGTTCCAAGTCATAAATGCCCTGCATAGGGTTTCTAAGGAGCAACTAGTGGAATAAAATAAATGTCAGCAATTGTGTGACGGGACAACCTGGTGTGGTGCTGTAGGATAAGCACTGACTGTTAACCGAAAGGTCGGAGGTTCAGACCCATCCAGTGGCACCACGGTAGAAAAACTTGACGATCTGCTTCTGTAAAAATTCCGGCCAGAAAACCAGAGGGAATAGAAGCTAATACTTTGAAATAATGATGCATGGAGGGGACCGTAATCATCGCAATGGAACGAAACAGGGCAGGATGAGTGCAAAACCCATGTTCTCCCATGTACACTATCACTCAGTTCACAATAAAAACAACAACAACAAAAAATTTTGGCTAGGAAAACCTTACAGAGCCATTCTCTATATTCCATGGGGTTCACCATGAGTTGGAATTCATTTCACAGCAATGGCTTTTTGACAGCAGTTGGATTTTCAGTGTGGAAGAACATGGATTGAGGACCATCTCATCCTCTCTTTGGACATTCTGGGTTGTGGCCCTTGAGCTTGCTTTCTCATCTCCTCCAGTCTTAGTTGGCTGGAAAACCAATCAATGTTCACCTTCACTGTTGAACAACCCTCCATCCTGGCTGCCCTGCTTCCTGCCCTGTCCCCGAGGGAATCACAAAACCACCTGGCACAGAACCCATGGGACTCGCCTTCTGTTCTTGTGAAAACCCTGCTCACCAGTTGTGAACACACCAAACTGTATCTTTAAGGACGGCGCACCCCACATTTGCCCATCTGGAGACCCTTTCAATCAGAGTTCAGCAGATCTGTGGTGGGGCCTGGGAGTCTGTATATTTCAATAAGTATCCCAGTTAAGTTTGACAGTTCAATCAGGGTGGGACATATGTCCTCAGACTCACCAGACCAGGGGAACACACACCTGGGCCCACGGGGGTAAAGGGATAGGATGAGGTTTGGCAGAACTCATTTGTCGTGACCCTGGTCTGTCATACACCCTGTTTCCCATCAGTCTTCAGCTGCCCAAACCATCGTTAACCATGGCCCGTGCCCCAGTCCTGAGAAGTGCTGTCTTAGGGGTTCCACGGTCGAATAGTTTAGGGAAATGCTGTCTCGTGTTGTTGGGTACCATCAAGTCAATTTCACCTTCTAGCAACTCCATATGAGAGGGTAGAACTGGCCCACAGGGGTCTCTGTACTAGTCTCTACAGGAGCACATTACCAGGTTGTCTTTCCTTAGAGCTGCTGGCAAGATTCAAACAGCCAACCTTTGGATTTGCAGCTGCACACTTACTGTTCCCTATAGTCCTGGTCTGTGTCCTCCTCTTGAAAACAGTGGCTCTGCAGTGAAGAAACTTGTCCCAATATCTCACCCTTTGAGGCTCCAATCCCCTTCTTTCTTGCGACATTTTTTTACGCTAGTTCTGCGGGACGTTTTGCAGATAGTTTTATTGCCCATTGGGTCTGGCAGAATCTGGTTTTCCCAAACATTGGCTTCCCTCTCTGTTCCGTGCTTACGAGCACATGTTCTTTGAGCTCCACATGATCTATCCATGTGGAAGGTAAGTTAGGATTGATGCACACCAAGGCTCCCATCCTGGAGAAGGGATTGACAGATGAGTTGGAAGGTTTTGCTTAGTCCAGATGCCTGTCTACAAATGAGCAAAGCATACGACTCCGCCAACCTGCAGACCAAACCTGCTCCCTCTGGGCAGGACCCGAGCTCTTATTCCTTTGGTCCCTGCCACCACAGTGGTTTCTGCCACATCTTTGAAAGGTGGTGGCGTGAGAGGGTCAGTGGAAAGAGGCTCTTTCAATCATAGCAAAAGTAGGATCTGAAGGGGTCCTAGAGAACAAAGCAGCGCGTCTTGAGGTGAGCCCAGCCGGAGACCTGCTGCCTCCAAGTGTCCTTGGCATGTCCGCTATGGGGCACTTCTCCCTTGGAGATCAGCTCAGCAGGCTAGAGCCCCAGGTATTCAGCCAGGAAGACAGCGAGGATGCGGCTCAGGTTGTGTACCGTGGGTGGGTGGAGGTTGGCCTCGGAGTCGGCAGGTGTGTGCCAGACAGAGGGGAAGGGTGTGGAGATGAGGTGAAGCACAGGGACCCCTGCAGGTGACAGGAGAGACTAGGTCAGTGGATAGAGCCTGGTGGACCCCCCAAGGCTACGGCCCCACATCACCCTTCAGGTCTAGAAATGAACTCACTCCCACGGCCCAATTTTCAGCCCCTAAATAAGTGGGTCTATAAGAACATGGTCAGCATTTCTCAAGCTGG